GACCACACGACCACCCTCACATCAAAACAGCCCCCTCTCTCCACCTTCATCCATCACCTTGCTCCTTGCCAACCTCCACGTGACCGCACAAACCTTCAAAACCACCAGCACCATCATCAACCTCCACGCACCAAAAAAGAAGCACAAAAACCCCCACGCAGTACAACCGAAGCAAGCAGCAGACTTTGACTTGATTTCTAGCTTTTGGTTACAGCAGAGTTTTTCGGGTTTTATTGTTTTTGTTTTAATTATTTAATTTAGATTTTTTTATTATGTCTGTAATTATTATTGAATTATTTTTTATAGTGTTTAGTGGCTAAATTCTTTTAACCTAGGGCTTGGGTGTAGCCACCGAATCTATTTAGTTTATTTGGTTCATTATTATTTGACTTTTCTATTAATTAATATTTGTTATTCTTGTTTTAATTCGTGTAAGTAATTGGCCACTATTTGCATGTCTGAAGATACTAATTGAAGTAACGAGAGTGAAAGATTAGTAGTTGTTCGTAGGAATAATAGACTTAGGGTGTAAGCTACGAGGGTAAGATTATAACCTTTGCAACGTTTGATTCTTAATGATCTTAAAGTGCTTTTGTTAATCCTTATAGTCACGAGAGTAGTTATAGGGTTAACCTAAGTAAGAGAATTATAGTGCGAGAGTGTATAGTGCTTAATTAGGTGAATCGTTGTGAGATTAATGGAAATTAGAAGTCAGATATTTGTGAATTGAACTAAACCAAGTATTTTATAGGTGAACCCAATGTCCTAGGTTTTCTTTGTCTCATTATTTGAATTAATATTATTTGTTTTTATTTTATTTATTTTAGTTTTAAATTTTATAAATCTGAGATAATCATTTATCTAGATAATATTAAGAGTAATTTATACCTGGTAATTAGTATTTCTTCTCTGTAGTATGACCCTATTTTCCGCTATACTAGTGTTAAGTAGGTAAATTGAATTGACTAGTTGTGACGACAGCTTGTCAATAGGGTTGCATCCTAGGATGGTCACACTAACCATGGATTTTGCCCGAATAGATGCACCCTCGCCGTTTAATGTGATTCTAGGATGACCGTGGATGTGTCAAGCTCGGGCAATTTTGTGTCCTTATCACTTGGTGTTGAAATTTCTAAATGAATACGGTGTTGGAATGGTGCAAGGATGCCAACGCGGCTCTGGAGAATGTTTACTCACAACAGTCAAAAGTGGGAAGAAGACCATGAAGTGAAACACAAGCACTGCTATGTCGGGATGCTACTCGATCCAAAAGACAACGACAAACTCACAGTCGGAAGATCACGATGCTGGTAACCTACCACAACCTTGTAGCAAAACCCAAGAGCTAGTTCTTAACGAGAAGGATCCCTCCAAGACCACCCAGATAAGGATATCTCTTCAAGGACCGTTGCTGGCCGAGGTAATCCACTTGCTACACGAGTTTTGCGATAATTCACCTGGTCACCTACAGACATGACAGGAGTACCAGGAGACCTTATTGAACATAAGCTGAACGTCGATCCCAATGTCATACCTGTGCAACAAAAGAAAAGAATATTCGCTCAAGATCGCAACGATGTCATTCATGAAGAAACATTAAAGCTGGTTCGCGCTAACATCCTCCGCAAAGTTCTTTGGCCAACATGGTTAGCTAGTCCAGTCCTAGTGCCGAAACCTGATAACTCTTGGTGCATGTGTCAAGATTTCACGGATCTCAATAAATACTGCCCTAATGATTGTTATCCCTTACCAGTCATAGATCAGATGGTCGAGGGTATCACAGGGTATAGAACCCTCAGCTTCCTTGATGCCTATAAAGGGTACCACCAAATCCTCATGGCACGAGAAGACGCGGAAAAGATAGCCTATATTACCGAGATTGGGGTATATTGCTATGACAAGATGCCTTTTGGCTTGAAAAACGGCAGTGCAACCTATCAAGCCTCGTCAACTGAGCATTTCACGACCAGATTGGTTGAAATATCGAGATATATGTGGATGACATGGTGATAAAAAACAACAGAGATGAGCAGGTAGTCAAGGTTATGCGCGAGATCGTCTCAATTCCGCGCAAGATTAATATGTAGCTTAACCCGAAGAAATGCACCTTCTGCATGGGATCGGGTAAATCCCTAGGATACCACGTATCCAAAGATGAAATCAGTGTCGATCCAGGGAAAATTGAGGCTATCTTAGCCATGGGATCCCCAAAGAATATCAAAGAGGTTCAGAAACTCACAGGATCCCTAGCTGCATTGAATAGGTTTGTTCTCGAGCCGTAGAAAGAAGCCTCCTATTCTTTCACACGCTCCGTAAAGGTAGAAAGTTTGAGTGGAATGAGGAATGCCAAAAAGCGTTTCAAGAGCTCAAGGAGCATCTCAAACAGTTACCGATATTAGCCAAACTAGAACCGGGAGAAACCCTACATGTGTACCTTGCTGCTCGAGAAAAAGCCATCAGCCGTCCTAGTCCAAAACAAGGATGGCAAAGAGATCCCTATTTACTTCGTCAATAAAGTGTTACAAGAGGCAGAGTCAGGATACACGCCCATGGAAAAGCTTATCTTGAGTTTAGTTCTGGCTGCTCGATGCTTGTGCCCGTACTTCCAAGAACATCCAATAAGAGTGTTAACAGAACAGCCCATTCAGAAAGTCCTTCTCAAGCCAGAAGCTTCCGGCAGAATGATGAAGTGGGCAGTCGAGTTGGGAGAGCACCATATCGAGGTACAAGCTGAGAGCGGCAATCAAAGGTCAAGCTTTCGCAGAATTTCTGGTAGAGATGCCTCACACTGCTGATATTCGGGAAGTCGTAGAGCCTAAGAGTTTCCACACTACCCGTGTCAAGGTTAAACCTTGAGCCTAGACACTATACATCGATGGCTCTCGTTACGACGAGGGGGGAGGAGCCGGTATCATACTAGCAAAGCCATCAGCCAATCCTGAAATTGAGAGCAAGAAAGAATATGATGCGGAGTACACCTACGCACTGAGATTCGGCTTCCCAGTTACTAATAATGTGGCTGAATATGAAGCGTTGATAGCAGGTTTAAATATGGCTCTAAATCTTGGGGTTCGAAAGCTTCAAGGTTTTAGCGACTCCCCGGTAGTGGTAAGTCAAATCGTAGGCAATTATACAGCAAATGATGAGCAACTCCAGCAATATCTGGAGAAAGTTCTCGAGCTAAAAGACAAGTTTGAAGAGTGCGCTATCACCCAAATCATACGGTCGAGAAATAAGAGTGCGGTTGTGTTGAGCAAATTGGCCTCCTCGAACAACTCACATCCTAGTCACAAGGTTTGGGTCGAGATCCTCCCTGAACCTAGCATTCAAAAGGTTCCCGTAATGACTATTACCGAGGACGGAGATACACGGATAACCCTATTTATTCAATATCTAACAGACGGAATGTTGGTAAGTAGTAAATCAGATGCTCGAGCGCTCTAGTTGAAATCAACCAAATACACTTTGAGAGACTGAGTGTTATATAAGCACGGATACCTGCTACCCATGCTACGATGCATTGGACCGAAACAAGCAGCGTATGTCCTCCAGGAAGTACACGAGGGATCATGCGAAGCACACATGAGAGCTAGAGCGCTTGCTAAGAAAGTACTGCGTTCCGGGTACTTTTGGTCCACGGTCTTCAAGGATGCATACCAGTTTGTACAAAAGTGCGATAGATGTCAGCGATTTTCTCCATTACTCGACAACCGCAGCATGAGATAGTCACTATTCAAAGTCCTTGGCGGTTCTATCAATGGGGCACTGACATCATCGGCCCTTTTCATCGAAAAGGGGCAAGAGGAGTGAGATGGGTAATCATAGCAGTAGACTACTTCACCAAATGGGTAGAAGCTAAACTGTTGGCCTTAATATCAGGAAGGCAGGTGTAGGACTTATTTCTGGAAAAACATTGTCTGTCATTTTGGAGTTCCTAGGATCATTATCTCCGACAACGAAACTCAAGTTGAAAGAAACCCCTTCAAGTCGTGGTGCAAAGAAATGCAAATTGAGTGCCGTTTCTCGAGTGTAGGTCACCCTCAGGCTAATGGCCAAACAGAATCCATTAATAGAACTATCCTGCATAGAATCAAAAGCAGGTTGCACGACGCTAAAGGAGCCTGGGCCGAGGAAATTTTTCACGTCCTGTGGTCATACCGCACTACTGCCCACTCGTCAACAGAAGAAACTCCCTATAGTTTGGTCTATGGCATGGATGCTGTTCTGCTAGTCGAGATAGGCCTAGCAAGTCCTCGAACAATAAACTTTGTTGAGAGCACTAGCAATGATGATATCAGGCTAAACCTCGACCTGCTCGAGAAGCGACAGGATGCCGTTAGGATCAGAGAAGCAAAATACAAGGAGATCCTTAGGAAACACCACAATAAGCGTGACAAGGCGATAGATCTCGCGGTGGGGAATCTTGTACTAAGGAAAAATGAAGCCAGTCAAGCCGAAGCTTCTGGGAACTCACTGTAAATTGGGAAGGACCTTACAAACTTATTCAAGCCTCTCCAGCAGGCAGCTAGCATCTACGAGCCACAAATGATAGTGGAACCATCCTCCCTTGATGGTGGAACATTGAGAACTCCCGTAAGTTCTATGTTTAAGCCTTTATTCGCTACATGCTAGTTTAGGTTATTCGCTTTATTTTCTTTATTCACTTTGCTACTTTTACTTCCTCATATCTAATGCTAACCCGGGTCATCGGGTAATTATTCAATAAAAAGTCATTGCATTTTTTCTCACATTGTCGACATTATTATGACTAGTCCTCAAGATGGACTACCTCTTTAGGGCCATCCTCGTTTAGAGCCGTGTATTCAACATCCGGACAAAAACCAAGGAATTTCCCTCGTACGCAGTTCCCTCAAGAGAGCCGTGTACTTTACATCCGGCCGAAAAGCACTATATAAATAATAAACTCGAGTTTTGTAAAGCAATGATAAATTTGCTACCTTCACACACTGTGCGATGTTGTAGAGAACATACACGTTTTCCTACACTATTACAAGAACTTCTCTACTTGGATTATCAGGAGAAGGATGAATAATGCCTCTAAACCCATGTTGGCTGAGGAGGTTTACACATTGGTTGAGTTTGTCCTTGAGATCTACAATCTCCTCGTCTTGAGCATGGATCCTCAAAAAGAATTCTTCTCGAGAACTCTTGGTCCGAGGATCTGCCACCTCCTCGGGCTTCTCAAAGCTCTGAAAGCCAATATTGTGATCCAGTAGTAAGTTCTGGATCTCATTGATATATTCCATAAGGAGCTCGATTTCACGAGTTCTCCCTTTTAGCATATCCATTGCTGAAATGAATCGGTGAGTCCTAATCGAGATAATGTGCTGTACTCGGGCGAGTACGTGATGCTTCTTGAGAAACGATGGTGATATGGTAATCTGTTGATTCTGCCTCAACTGGGTATTTTCCTTTTGCAAAGCAACCAGATCATCATGAATGTCAGTCTCGAAAGTCAAAGAATCACTGTAATCTTTATCTTTCTAGTAGTCTCGCCGTTTCATCTCTTCATGAAGCCTTTTGATCTCATCAATCGGATGCTGATTGACTCTCACGTTGTGCGCCCGCATAGCATCAAGGAGGTCTACCTCCAAGCTCATCCCTGTCACGATAGTATGGATGTCTGGCCGGCTTCTCATGATATCGTTGATCATCAAGTATAGAGGGTAATCCCTCGACTGTTCTTCAGATAGTTTCATAAAGTGGATTCGGTAGACAGGCCAATTGTTTTGTTTTAAGGAAGAGTGCATGGCCGAAATCAAATTGTGAGATGAAATACGAGCATCCATTTACGATGTCAAAAGAAATCAAAAATCTTTATGAGGGACTATTGTTTAAACTAGTTTCTAAAAAAATATTATAGGGTAGAGAATCATACAACTTCATGGGAGTTTCCCTCGGCTGGAGGATCCTTGTCCTTAGAACCAGAGGTGCCTATATCCCTTTCCTCCGAGGCCACATCATCCTCGTCCTCAAGCTCCACACCAATGTACTCGTCGGGAACATCAAGGATTGACAATTCCCAGCAGGAATGCTCATCTTGGCCAGGGCCCCACAAAGAAACTCCCACAAAGGTAGCTGCTCGATACTCAGCTTAGTAAGAGCCTTTACCAGCGCCTCGTGCATGCTTTTCTTCGGGTTCTTCTTCAGGAACTGCTTGAACCACTTGGTCTTAATAGGTTTCTCACTTTTGAGCCTTTTGAGGCTGGCAACGGCAACTCCATGGCCTCCATATTCTGTTATGGCCATGTTCATCTCATCAATAACCACCACCATTCCACCCGTGGATAGCATCCTGAACAAGAAAGCAGCACACTACTTGTGAAGGTCTTCCTTCAAGAATTGCAAATTACCATATTCCTTGAGCTTCTTGTCCAGTTCATTGTACTTAGCCTGCACAGAGGCTAGTTCTTGCTCGTCGGCCTCCACTTGCTGGGCCTTCTTCTCGAGAGTAACCTTCTCGATGAGCGCTTGATCTCTTTCAGCTCATGCCTGGACCAGTTCCTGCCTTAACTCTCTCGAACACATCAAGTAAGCCATTGAGGCAACGCTCATCTACAAAAATTATTGGTTAATACAAGTATTGACAACCAAAGATTTACAAGAGTATTTACGGATGGACATAAAGTACTTACCAGCCTCACGCTGTCGGACTTTGTCAACTGAGCGGCAAATTCCTCTAGCAAGGGGCACTCACCTTTTGGTGGATCGCCGAATGCATGGACGGCCACGGTTGGTCCTCCCACGAACAGATGGGAGGGTAAAATGATCTCCTCCTCTTTGAGAGGGCCTTTGCCTTTGTCCTTGGCAGGCGATTTATTGCTTGGCCCAGACTCCATAGGTGGAACGTTGGGCTTCTCGGTCACTGGGGGAACAATCTTCCCTTCTTCCACTGCTGACTTTGTAACGAGGACGTCGGCCTTTGCTTTCTTCCTTGGCTCCTTTTCAGAGCCCTTCACGAGTCTCTTCTTTTTCTTCTTGGTTTCGGCAGCTAATGACGTCGACATTTCTTCTTCTGAATTCACAACAGGAAAGGGGTCTTCATCACCATAAAGTTGAGAACGAGCATTGCTCGATAACATGACCTAAAAACAACAAAAGCAATGAAAAGAGACTAGTACTTTTCTTCTCCTCAACAGGGGTCTAAGAGTGTTATTAATTTTTTTCTCCTCGACAAGAATAGTACGAACGAAATGTTGCACAACGTCCTATTTAACTCTTTTGGAGTACTTCTCGAATTTCTTTAAGTCCTTGATGAAATCCTTGATCTTTTCTTTATCTTCATCTGTGCAATCATCCTTTATTGCCTCGAATCCATTGGTTTCTCATTGATTTCGATCAACAAAATACATTTTTGGTGCCTTTACATACAAAAAGTTTGGTTTCCATATGTTAGAACTGCCATACACCTGTACTATCTTCTTGGCGCCCGAGTTGGGGTTCTTCTTCACAATATACTAATCTTGAAACGATGTCGAAGACATGGATACTTTAAAGAAATATCTTCACAGAAACAGACACGATTTCACCTATACCCGTTGACATATTTTCACAAAACCAAAAACGTAGGTTATAGAATTCGGGGTGAATCGTGCCAAGGGAATTTTATAGTGTTGCACAATCTACTCGAACAAAGGAAAAATGGGGAATCTTAACCCTAGATACATAAAGGGGTCATATATGGTGATTTTTTGCTTCTGGAGGAGTATTGGCTCCCTCGGTTCCTAAAGAGGCTCTAACTTCTAGGTCTAGGGGCAAGTCATATCTCGTTTTTACACCTTTTACCTTCTCATCGGAACCTATGGTGGAAGAAAAATCGTCGACGATTTTCAGATATGGGTTTCTAGCCATAATTCACTACTCGCAGTAATCAATCTAGATCTACTACGATCTTTATTAAGACTCAAAAAAGAGAAAGGCCGGAAATGAAACTAAGATTAATGGATCTGGAAACTAACTGTTGGAGTAGCTATCCACTCTCCTTTCGAATTTTACCCTCCCAGGGTCACAGTTGTCTCCGGCGACGGCGACTTCTGAAAATCGTCTGAGTCGTCACACCAACAAGGATGGGGTAGTCGCATGGGTCGTTGCCAGCACAATCGAGAAAATCTTCTCCAACCACAGCTCTTCTCGGTCCAGCAGAGATGAACACTTTCGGCGATGCAAAAACAGGAGAACTGTAACAGCAAAGAGGATTTTCAGATTGGGGTTTTGATGTTTGGAAGAGAAAGGAGTAGTTTTTCTGAGCAAAAATAAAGTGTGAAGTTAGAGAAGTCTGAAGAGTTTATGTACCGGTATTGCAGCCCACAATTTGACAGTTTGGGCGGGTTTTAAGGAGGCAGTGATAATGATGAAGCCGCCATTTGGGGAACGTGCCCACTTACTATGCGCGGTTAAATAATTTAGGCGGGATTTTCAGTCGGGTTGTCTTCTCAGGCTCCCAGGTCGAATCCCGACTCGTGAACCATTCCATCTGGCCTGCTCGATATAACGTGGGCAGAGACTTGTCCATTCAATTTGGTCCGAGTCCAAGTATTATTTATTTTGTGTCAAGTCTTATTTATTGAGTATAATTAACACTTGATAGGGGTACTTGACGAGTCCATATCCACCACCAAGATTGGACCGGCCCATCCGCTGAGTAAGGGGTCCAACCGACTCTGTTGAGGCGGTGAAGTAATGTTAAACTTCGAAAGATTCGGGCATCTTCCAGGTTATTCTATGCCTATCTCTTGCCCCAGTACACATACATACGTTATTCCTTAACTCTATTTTTTGACTTAAGCATCGAAGTGTGTATCCTCGCGAGACCCCTGAGACTTTGTTTTGTAGGTTAAACCCTACCGGAGTTCCGCATCCAACCTGCGAACAATCCCACGCTTCGTCAGTTTATTTCCTCAACATCAAGTTGATTTATGCTATCTGAACTCGAAAATTTTGGTAAGAAAGAGCTTGATAATATGAGAACTCATTGGTTTCCGCCATCAGGAAAAGCAGATTCATAGAAGAAGAACAGTATGCAATTTACTTTTAATATATTCCACACCTGGTGGATGCATAGGATCTGCAAAAATATTTGCCTTTCAATACTAACTAGGTGCTCTAGAAGTCAGATAAGTTCTCCAGTTTGTACATTATCAAACGAGAAGCAGCTGGACAACAATGTGCCTTTTCATAGGACTCCTATTCAGTAGGCAATATGTGCCTCGAAGGAAAGCATTTACTATACATGCGGCTAATCTATTTTATTTTCCCTTTGGTTTTTCTTCCAGTATCATACTATCACTTTCAGATAATTATAAAAGCTTGAAGCAGTTATAATGCAACTCTTGGGCTCTCAGTGATCGATAACAAAATCAGGATTCGTACTATACTTTCAACAATTTGCTATTTCACTATATTTATTAGTTCGAATTCATGTAGTTTCATAATTTGGCAATTTGCAATTAGATCTGTCATATATTATTCAATCAATCATGAAATCAATTTGGAAAATTCTGCCTCATGAATCCTAACAATGAACAATACAAAAATTTCTACACATGAGAAAAATAACAGTTTCATCATGGCTCATTGACTGAGATGGACAAATCATTCAACAGTCACATGCAAATGAACCCCTTGCATGTCATTATTAAGTGCCCTTCTTCCTATGTAAAATGCCTGCTGCTTTGGATCGGCCAAACTCATACTCTCATTATTGAGCATGAAAACAACATCTGACATTGTTGGCCATCTGTTGCACTTTCTTGCACACACAAAAGACCTTCATTAATGGATCGTAGTATCTTAATTGTGTTGTTGCTGAAGTTGCTAAGTGCGGCATCCTTTAGTTCTAAAGCCATCGAGGGTTATTGGACCGGCCCACTCACTTTTCTTGAGTCCGACCGACTCTGATAAGGCAATTTGCCAATACGAAACCTAGGGAGATTTGGATATATCCTAGGTAATTCTATGCCTATAAATAGGGTTGGTCATACCGCAATTGAGGTATGCTATCTCTTGCACCAATCAACGCATACACACTTCTCTATAACCCTATCTCTGACGTAAGCATTGGTGCTACCATCGGGAGACCTCCGAGACACTATTTTGCAGGAAATCCTTCTAGAGTTCTACTATTAAGCCGGTAATACAATTCTTGGTTTCGTCAAGTAGCACACCTAGTGGGACCCGATTCACTAGGGTTTGTGTCATAGTTTTTTCTAAAACCATTGTAATAGCTTATTCCTGGTGCAACTTAGGGTTTTTTTATAAAACCTAAAGATGGCCATAATTGTGCAAACTGAATCCAGCACAGCATCCTCCGGGAGACAGCCTAGTCCTTGTGATAACACAACACTTTCTGAAATCTAGAAGCAACAAAAACAGAAGCGAAAAAACAAAAAACTAGTGGAGGGCCCGGAGAATGATCCAACAAAGGAGGATGTTAATTACAACGTTCAACCCCGAAAGGCAAAGCTCCCCAGAAAGTCGCTGGAAACCAAACCCGATGACGGGAAAACAAACCCGCATACCAGGGCTTCCCGACACTCCAAGAAAGATGAAAAGTTGCAGAAAACCGAGGCAAAATAAAAAAACTACGGGATGACGGTGACCAAAACCAGAGGATGAAGAGATACGTGCTGGAGGAAACCAGACGCCGAGTTCTGCTTGAACAACCAGATCCGACCGAGCAAGAATTAGGCAACTTGATTGATCAGAAAGAGGCATATAGAATGTTGTCTCTTCTCTAAAAGAAGTGTGGCAAATGGAAAGTCATGAAAAAGAAGGATTATATGGAGGTGCAAGAACGAGAAGCCTCCTGGGATGATCACGCACCCTCCACGCGCAATACTGCTTTCTAGGATGCCTATAAGAGAAGGTACCCAGATTTTGAACCAACACTCGAGAAGTTCGATTGCGAGTACCAGCGTAAGAAGGCCATTGTAAGGCGTAATCGAGATCGCTCTCCCAGTGTAGAATTAGTAAACGAGAGGGACTGGGGTATGCCACCGCCCAAGCCTAGCATTCACTCCTGTCTGGGACCAAGGACTAAGCCTGAGGACCCTCGACAGGATAATGAAGGTTTCTTTTGAGAACAACCTCGGTTCGACAACCACCCCTCGAGAAAACTGTCATTGACAGTATGAATATTATCCGCAACGGTGCCCTCAGCCTCGACGAGCAAAACAGTACTACTGAGAGGATCCTTATCCTCCTCAACAATAGAGAGAGAATGGAAATCAGTGCACGACTATCCAAGAAGAAATGAGGCGACTCATAAGCATGGTTGTAGATCGAAGCCCATTCATACCTGCCATCCGAGATTATCCCAAACCCCAGGATTTTGACTTTCCCAAAGATGTAAAGTATTCAGGAGACACTGATCCTACTCAGTTTCTTCATGGACACGTCCTGGTTCTAAGAATCAGGAATGCCTCCCCAGATTTCATGGCTAAGGCTCTTCCGTCTTACCTAATCGGGCACGCACAACGGTGGTTTGGATAACTACCAGAGGAAGTATAACCAGTTTTGAAGATTTATCCGTCAAATTAGCCACCCGTTTCTTCCAAAGCAAACAGATTGCGAGAATGTCCATTGACTTGTCATTTGTAAGGCAAGGCCAGAATGAGAGTCTCTCTGATTTCCACTGATGTTTCATTCGAGAAACTCTCTAGGTGGAAAACTTAGATGATAGAGATGTACAAAATGGATTTATCCAGGGTCTCTACCCATTTGGAAAATCTGCAGGCCTGAGGAAGAAACTTTGAACCAAACCTCCTCGCAACACAAAAGAAATGTGGGCCACCGTCGAGACACACATCCAACGAGAACAAACACTTAACCGTTCACAAGAATCTTTCTCGCACTGGGGAGATCGAGGATCAAAAGATAGGCCCAAGTCCATGATAGACTCGAAACTGTCCCTGCCTAAACTCGACTGACAATTGACTCCACTGCTGAAGCCTCATCGAGAAATCTTCAAAATTCGTGAAAACGAACTTCCCATTTCAAAACCTTTGGCTCGAAACCCTAACAGGTCAATGGATCAATACTGTGAGTATCACAAGGATCATGGTCATGACACTTAGGATTGCAG